GAAGGTGAAAAATTAAATCTCATGCAATTATAACAAAATTTCCTTCGATATTTCATCTAACATTAAAGCATACTATATGAAAAATCTCCACAATTTGCAAAAATCTCACAAAGATCGAAATTATTTGCCTACGAAGTAGCATACACACACTAAAGAAGGCAAAAAGACTCATTTTCTCTTATTAAAACATAAATTTTTCGGTATATGAGTGCATGGGTCTTCGCTCTATTATTTGAAAGTTTATCCTCAAAGTTTGCGTAAAAATGTACATTTTTTGTTAACAAAAACATGGAACAAAGACCCACTACACCTTAAAAATACACGTACGTTTATAGCATTCGCATCTTTCCGAGAAATATTTGAAGTCCCTTTAGTCAAGGTCATATCAAAAACATGATTTAAATGCCACTTTTCATCAAGACTTGTGTAGCGTATGGGTGAGCGTGTTAATAGTGACACTCAGGATTTTTATTGCTAGGGTTCGAACTCCGGGAGTACCATATTCTTTATTTTAAAATAACAGAAAAAAATTTGCCGTAAAAATTTTCCTCGGCAAATTTTTGTTTATCATAATTTCATAAATTTCAACAAATGAGAACTTTACTCTAAATACCAATTCACAAACTGAATGTGATTTTTATATATCTGCAGCTATATAGGCATTCTGCATGCTTTGTTCACTCATCTCCTTCGGTAAAAGGAATACTTTTGTGTATAGCATAAACGCACAGTTTGCCTGCTAGATGACGTTATAGTTAGTTTTAAATTCTATGAATTCTAAAACTTTAATGCAACATATTTATTATTCATACATTTTTTTTTGTCTGCTTGATAACCAGATTTTTAAACATGTTATGCATTCTCAATCTAACATTCACATGGGGATTGAACCATGGACCCAAGGGACGTGAACTTTACTCTTTTAGTAAAGGAATCAATACTTTTTATAACCAAAACAGCAGTTTTAATTAAAAAATGCTAAGTGTTCATGACAGTAGAGAATCCAATAGGAACCTGGCGAATAAGAAAAACATATGCTGAACAATCTAAAACCAGTAGAAATTTTGTTAATCAGGATTTCTGTCCTAGTCGTGCTTACACACAGTTTTTGATTGTTTTAGTTTATCCGGAAAAATACAAGTTTAGCAGACACAGTTTTGGAGTTTACAATCTTCAAAATGGCGAGTTGGAAGCAAAAGTTTGGTGTGTACTGTAGCCTACATTTCTCGTTACTGATTGTTCATAAGTTTTTGTTCAATCATAAGTCTGCAACTAACAGACTATATGATTGGAAAAAGATATTTATTATTTAATCTTTAGTTTCACTTATTAGATTCGTTTACTGCTTTGTAACGCTTGTAGATCTAAACCTAGGCTCTAGATCAGGTTCAGTCCAAAGACTATTTCTACCTGCGTAGCTAGTTATAGCTACCTATGTATTTAAACCTACTCCAGGTAGTGTTTTTACCTACTTTTTGCTCTGCTTGAATTTCGTGGCCAAACGCGGGAACGGCGCAATATGGTGACTTGGTGAGCTGTGCACCAGATTTCTTGACATAGTAATAATGACGATGAATACGACAAAAATGTTGACCTAAAATGATTACTTTTTTCAATTTTTGCATCAATTACTACAACCTGTTCCATTTTCTAGGAGATAAAATCAAAGCTACATGATAAGAAGCCTATAAAATCTTAAAAATCTGTTATCTGTACTAATTTTAAAAAACTTAGTACCTTCTTGCATTCTTAGATGAAGGTTTTTGGGATGATTTTTCATGCATTTCCTCTCCATTTTCCACCCTCATAAAGTTTTCAAATTAACACCCCAAGTTTTGCCATGCAAGTACACTACATGATAAACAATTATTCTGACCAGTTTTAAATGGGCCTAGACACAGATTTGAAGTTAATATTTTCTCAAATTTTCTGTGTAATATCATGACTTATATGTTGCCATAGCATTTGGTAATGGTAGGGTTCGCCCCGATTACATGTTCACTCTGGGTGGTTGGTTTCGCAGCGAGTGGTTTCGCCCTGATTATAGCTGTTATGGTGTTAGACAATAAAGGTGTCTAATTTTACCACTTGTTTTTTTGGCAGTTTGCTATGTCAAATCTTCTATGTTTTATGTCTGTGGTTTTTGCGTATGTGCTATGGAAAAGGTTTTTATTGTATCTACTTTTAAAAGCGATCTACCAGGGTTCTCATTAACGCAAGAATCTGCGTCCTAGACGCAGCAAAATTACTTGGGACGCAAGGTTCTTAAAAACGATGCGTCCGCGGACTCATGATCAGACCATGCAGACGCGTCCTCGTTTGCAAGAAAATTCAGGTGATTTCGAAAACGGGGAATTTAGATGTTAGGATTTGTCAAAGAAATATTTAATCGAAACCTTCCTGTAACTATCATAAAGTTTATCCAAGAAACAACTTTTCTTGTACTTATTTCTCTTTTTTTTGAACAGGGATTGATCATAAAATATTTCATGTTTATTAGTCCATAGTCATAATAGTGTCGCATGCCAAACTCCGGCAGCTGTAAACACACTGCAGCTTTTTTTAAAAAAAAAAAAACACTTTTGAATCTTGAGTGTTATCTACATGTAGAAACCATAATTACTGCTTGTATACACAATGGGGCTTGATATCTCGTGAATTTCACCCAGTGGAGACGACCGACAGGATTAGTTACACCTCATTGCACATGACACCTGTGATTGTATACTAGTTGATTATGCAACAGTTAATTTTAGCTTTATAAACACCAAGTTATTTTTATGGCAATTGATTACGCGTGTATTTTAGAATATGGCTTGAATTCATTACCAGTTTATATACTTGAATATGTTAATATTGCGTAAACAAACTGATAAAATGATAAAGATTTTTATTGATCTTTGGATGGAAGGATACTGCAATAATTTAGTTGGGACTCAACATAATTTTTCTGGGACGCATCAAATTTAGCTGGGACGCAACCTTCTCAGAAATCTTGAGTCCTGGGACTCAAGTCAGCAAAATCCTAGTGAGAACCCTGTCTACATGGCACACCAATTTGATTACCTTTTTAATGAAGTAAATCTACTTAGATCAAACCTTGAAAAAAAGATGGAGATTGTTGGAATAAAATTGAAACGATTAAACTAAACATACTGTATGTGTACTTAAAAAGGTGGGCTTCATATTTTAGCAGCTTTTGCGAGGACAATAATGAGCTAATTCATGAATACTGCTAAGAAGTCATTTATTAATACAATATACGGCACGTTAGTGTGTAGCCCTAATTCATGAATGTGCCAACAACACAATACCCATTGATTGCACTAAATTTTAAATATGCCAATTTATGAACACGTACAGTATTTTTTTTTTTTTTTACATATTTTAACACAGATGAATTAGTTGGGTTTTTTTTCCCCATGTTCGTGATTTTTTAAAGAAAAGTTCGTGTCATAGATCTGTCGTGAAAATCGGACTTGAAATAATTATTGATTAGTATTGATCGGCAACTCATAATTGAATTTAATTAAAGTGTTCAATAATTATATTAAGCTAAACACTCATTAATCAAACGACTTTTGCTTAAATAAACATCAAGCACATTGTATGTTTGAAGAAAACCAGTCGGGGCAAATCCACTAAGGGCGAACAGGGAAACGGCGCGAAACCACTCAGAGTGAACAGGTATTTGGGACAAAACCACCCCAATTCTAGCATTTTATATGAATATATAATAAAAAAAAACATATCTGGATATTATTGAAACTATGAATTTCGGGACACGTTTGATTTACACATCCTTGCATTTTCACAAAGTAAACTTTATCCTTATCATGTTATATTTCTTAGAAACTTTGTTGTGTATTAATGAAAAATATTAAAGCTGTAATCCAGAAAGTTCAGAGTAGACATGTGAGAAAGCGAAACCAACTCACCAGTATTGTATTAGTTGTTACTCAGTGATGTGTGCAGAGTTTAACAAATTGAACACACCCGGTGAAATGTAAACATTAACAATAACAGAGCTCATGCCCTGTTTACAAAAATAGTTTACGTTTCACCGGGTGTTTTCAATTTGTGTCTAGGATCCTTTAAGATTGTGCCTTAATTATTATTTATTTCTATTTTTAAAGACAGGTAAAAGTAGGTAGAAGTAGCTATCTCATGTAGGTTTAAATACATAGGTTGCTGTAAATAGCTACATAGGTAGAAATAGTCTTGGACTGGACCTGTTGATGTAGCTATAAAGCTTGAATGAGCTACATGTATATACATGTAGCTTGATTAAGCGATTCAAACTAGTTTGATTTAGTTATTTTATTATACTTTTTTCTTAAGTGTGCAATTTTCTCAGTATGTAAAAAAGCACACGTAGGTGCAGTTTTGACATTGCTTGAAAAAAATCAATTGTCAATTTACCGGGGTATGTCTCATTGAGAGACTTTGTACTGAAAGTACTAGACGTTTTGGGGCTATATAAAGCAATTGATTTTTGACCACACAGTTACTTCTTGATTCAAATGATAAAGAGGTCAATTATGGTCAAGAAGATAATTGAATGGTAATGATTCAGCACAGTGTGAAGAATATTTTAGGTCATCCTTAAAAATTTTTTAAAAAGAATTGTTTGATGTACTCCGACCCACATTTTTCAAGGTGGGTAGGTAGATAGATTTTTTTTTGGAATATTATAAATATTTAACATATTGATCATGATGTTGATAGCCCAAAATAATGGAAGTACAATTTTTGCATAAAAGTGTTTAAAATCAGCAATGTTTAAACAATGTTTGATCAGGATTGCTTTTTTGATAGTCCATATTACAAATATGAGTAGTCACATGTGACTTTTTGTCTATTTCTTTATGAAAAACTGTACTGAAATAGCTTTACCAAGCTATTTTGAATAGGTTTATAAAGTTATATTGCTAAAACAAGTGATTGTGATGGACCTGAATACAGTTCAGTAATAAAAATCTTTGATTACATAGGTGCATAAGTGAGTGAGTTGGCCTGCCAAATATTGAACATGGGTCGGTCTGGAAAAGGATCTGCAATCTGCACCATAAAATACCTTTTCCTAATTTTCAACACCATAATATGGGTTTGTATGCTTTTGAGTTTTTATTGTTGTTATTGTATATTTTTTAAATTGAAATGTTTTGAACAATATTTTGCAGGAAAAAATTGTAAATCTTTTCGACTAAGTGAATTATATGATTTTTTATAAGTGGTTTTGTCAAATGATTTGAAATCGTGAAAAATTCATGAGGCTTGTTAATTTAATATACACTACTTCTACTAGTTAATGAAGCTAAAATAAAATTACTGTTGTAAATGTTCTATTAATGGCATATTTTTTTTTTTTAAATTATTTTGATGACAGGTTTATAAGTTTAATTGCATTATTGTCTTTCCGAACTGCAATTTCTTAAACTATTATGACTGATTTCAATTTATTTGTATTTTTATTTTAATTTTATTACCAGGTACTTGGATGTGGAGTGTTTGCAGTTGGAATATGGATGCAAGCAAATAGGGATTCCTTTTCAGTAGTGTTGCCGAGTTACAGTTTCTTGACTGCAGCTTCATTAGTGATAATAACAGGAACCATAACTCTTGTCATAGGCTTTGTGGGCTGTTGTGGTGCTTTAATTGAGAATAAATGCATGATGGTGGTTGTAAGTTTTTGTTCCTTTTAGGTGTGTAAATCAGAATTATTTCCTTCCGATGTTATATCATTATTTTCTAACATATTATCTTTGCTAGCCTAGGGTTTCTGGTCTGCTACTCTCCTTGCAAATCAATGGCCCGTCATGCTATCAAAAGTCGGGATTGTTTACATCATTGATCTCGAATCTTACCTCATACACACAGCTTGCATCACTACATCAGATTCAGAAATAAAGAGTTTGTTTAAAAATTGAAATATTAAGGAATAATTAACAATCAGGTATCAAGCGATGTTTATTTGTTATTTAGGCTGCACATCTACAATATACATGTACATTCCAGATTACATTATGTGCACATCAACTTAAAGTTGGATGACACCATAGCTATATATGTATCAAACTGCAAATCAAAGACTTTAGAGTTAAGAAATATTGAGAACAGAGATATTGTTATTAACTATAGCACTTGCTGATTGGTCGAATGATATTGAGGAAAAAAAATCAAGAAAAAAATCCCCAAATTTGATAGCATGACAGACAATGGGTTTGTGAGGAGAGTAGTGGATCAGTAACCCTGGCTTGCAAAGATGCTAATGTGTATGAAAGTCATAACAGGTATTATTGTTTTATCATTCTATTTTTAGTACTTCATTTTCGTCCTGATTATATTTGGACTAGAGGTTGCAGCTACAGCATTGATATTATCATACCAAACGGATGTAAGTAAATAAGTTGTGTGACATTATCAAAACTGACTCTTTTTTTTTTTACATGTATATAAAAAATGCCAATTCTGACAGATCAGGGCTCGACATTAACGCTTGTCTGGTACCAGTGAAAAAAAATTACGGACAAGTGAATATTGCCGGGCACTTGTCCGACTGGACAAGTGCATTTTAATGTAAAAGAGTCTCTAAATAATAAAAATAACGACTGTTGAAAGTAAATCGGTAGTTTGAAGACGGAAGCTGTACATAAAAACCGGACTTCGATCGCGATAGAGATCGTAAATTGAGTTCACATTCGATCGGGATCGAAGTTCACTAATTGCATACTACTGAAAAGGCATGGAACTTACGAACTTAACGAATGTGGACATTTATGTTGTTGTCAGGACAGAAAGCCTAGATAAATTTCGTTTTATGTTTTTTTTGTATTTATCAATAACATCACGAATCAATCAAGCACATGCCATGTGTAATGGACTTTAGTTTAGTTTTCAAGTTGACAGTATTAGATCTCTATTGAAAAATTTTCGGACAAGTGAAGTTGAAGTTCGGACAAGTAAATGTCTTGGTCACTTGTCCGAATGGACAAGTAGGAAAAAAAGTTAATGTCGAGCCCTGCAGATCTATGTTTATTAAGGCCAAGATCTAGTTAATGGGTTGAGACTGTCTTTTTGGTGCTAGATCCATTGTTAGGCATTTTCATGGAATTCAAATTGAAATTATGTCAAAAGTAACCAATTTAATATCATCTTAAAGAAGAGGTCAAGAAGATATGAAAAATGGATTTCTCACAGATTGTAAGCAATATTGATACATTTCCTTTGTCTGTGATAAAAAAAATTCCATATTTTTACGCTTTCCTCATTTTTTATTAAAAATGGCAGTTTAAATATGTTTCATTGTTGACTTTACCTAAAAATTATGCCCCGATACTCCTTATTTTACCAATTTTTTAACCTATATTTGTAAAGAATCATTAAACGAGTTTGTTTCTCAAATTTGAAAAAATCTGTAGACACCTTTTTATGTTTACTAGATCTTGGCCTTAAAAGTACCTACTTAATGGTTTCTCATATGCAATCTCTACTGCTTGTTCTTTATATAAGAACATCTTTACTGATAAACAAAATAACTTCTGTGTACAGATCAAAACAGCAATAAAGGAAGAAATGTTATACAGCCTGGAGTACAGTTCTGACCCACAAGTTCAGTCGGAGAAGAGGGAAGGAATTGTACAGCTCATTGATACCATACAAAGAGATGTAAGTAGTTACTTTAATTGTTAAGCAAATTTTGAGAGCAGATCTTTTTTTTTTTTGTTACCATATTAGTCATGCATTTTTATGAAATACAGGGTGTTTCATAATATATGTTACATTTTGAATCTTCAATTTGACAAACACAAGAAAAAGATACAGACAAGTGTTTTTATCTATTTGATACATGTATCCATAAGACTCATTTTGTACAATTACCAGCTAAAATATTAAACACTGGACAAAATCTCAAACATTAATGAAAAGTGGCAAAATTTCTAATTTACATCATTTTTGTAACGTTGAATTTCACAACGTAAAAAACCCACATAACCTTACATTGTTCTAAATGATCTCCACTATTTCAACTACAAATGAAAATTGCTTCTTGAAATTTGTATAACCTTGTCACACATTTTTGCTTAGAGACTTCTCATTTGAAGTTTTAAGATCGTAACTCGATCTTTCCTTTGGGTATATCATTATTGAAAATTTGTATGCTGATAACTTCATATCATATACCAAAGTCCAATATATGCTGGAAATGCTGATATTGCCAGCATAAATTTCTAAAACATCCATTTGACACTTCTCAGGAGTTTGCTAAATTAAGAATCTCTACTTCACCAATAAAATCTTCTGCTCTTGAAGTCCGTAGGCTTTCTGAAGCACCGGCCGTGTCATTTATCGCATTTTGCCCGTCCCTGTCCTTTAGCCTTGTTACTAGCCTTCTGAATAGCATCCTAGAAAGCTTCCATTCTTTTGGAATATTTCCCTCTTCTACAAGTTCTGAATGAATGTTGGCGACATTTGTTGAAAAAAAAAAATTGCTTTACAATTCAGCAATATGTTGAAAAGTTAAGTCCATTTCGAAAAATATTCAAATTATGACATTGGCATTTATGTCACAATTAATCATTGTAATACCATGATATCCATGACTTTTTCACATGGAACAAAAATGCAGGATTTGATGCTTAAAATGATATATATTTTGTACTAGAAATATGATAGGTGAGAAAAATAATTAGATTTAAAAATGTAACATATATTATGAAACACCCTGTACCTACATTTATTCAGAGAAATATATTAAGGATTTTTTTATTTTAATGGAAATAACATATTTAAACATGAAAGAAATTTTTTGACACACATGGATATAAATTAAATCCCAAATGTTTGATGAAATTGTTTGCAATTGTTAAGTTTTAAAATTGTGTCTATGGGATTTTGGTACAGCTTTGCAGTGTTTATGATAAAAATTCTGTAATACAAATGCATGTATATATACATGTACAGTACATTTAGTTATTGTATATATTGATGTGAGAAATTTTTTAAGACTATAAATATACTGTATGTTTACTAAAAAAAAATGGGCTTCATCTTTTAGCAGCTTTGGCGCAAACAACAATGCGCTAATTTATGAATACCACTAATAAATCTCATATATAAACAATACACGGCACGGACATGTATAGCGCTAATTCATGATTACGCAAACAACTCCATATCCAGTGATTATGCTAAATTTTGAATACGCCATTTTGTGTACACGTTCAGTACGTGTTAAAACCAGATTTTTTTTTGGGGGGGGGGGGTATTAATTTTTTTTTTTCATTAACTGATTAAATTTTTACAGCTACAGTGCTGTGGTGTTAATAACTACACAGATTGGTATGACATTGGAGACAGGGGTAAACAAGTCCGGCCCTCTTGTTGTGTAGACCCTTCACCAGGCTGTGAACAATCCCAGAGCTATGTATGGAACACAAAGGTGGGTTGACTAATTTGTCTTTTATGTATGTGATGTAATCATAACTGCTTACATGCATGTCACTGCACAAGCATATCATTAAATAATCTCATAAACACTTGAAACAAACTGATAAACTTATGAAAGTAACTTTCATTTAAACAATAAAATGCTTTCTTTGGTTGTTAGTACGGGAATTAATGTTGCAGCTGTTGCAGAAAAAAATACACAACCCATTTACGCAGGTTATGTGAATTTTTTCTGCAATAGTTGCAACATTAATTCCCGTACTAACAAACAAAGAAAGACAGTGTATTGTTTATATTTATATCTAAAAAAAAAAACATTCTAGGTAAATTAAATATGTTAAATATTGTATTAAATATGTTACGTATTGTATTATAGATGTGTATGTCATTGTATGCCTAATTGATGGAACATCTGTTGCTTAAGAAATCTATGCAAGTGGCTTGCTTAGTGTTGTCTATGGATTGATTAACGGCAATTGTTTTTATAAGAAATAAAGGAAATAATATTCAGTGATGTAAATATAAACTAATTGTCTGATTCTACAGTTGGTGCCAGGCCAGTGTGTATTACATACACACAAGGTTCAAATAGTTTGAAATCATTTTGAATTGTTCATGTACTTGAACTGATTAATAAACTGTAAGTTACATGTATAATAGTGATTGTAATTGTAGTATTATTTTTAATTCAGTTGTTTTATAGAGATAATACGTACAGGGTCTAATACATAATATTACAGAAATATGTCTAACATTTTAACAGTTGAATATTCTTATTTATTTCAAGGGTTGTATGGATGAAATAGAGTATTTATTTTCCAAGAACATGCAGTACATTGGGATAGCTGGTTTATGTGTGGCAGTTGTACAGGTATATATGTATCTTTGATTGTCCAATTAGATAGTTTATGATTTAATAAAATTGGATCAAAGTTTACTTGACATCCCCCCAACCCCACCACCCCACCACTATTTTGTTGTTTTTTTTTTTTACTTTGAACTGAAAATATTCTATTACAGATATTGATGATGGCAGCCTGTATAATGTTGTTCTGCAACATGAGAGATAAATCTAAATATTGATATAAAAACTGGTGTTAAAGCCATTAGTAAAGAACAAGTAGTCCAAATGTATACCAAAGACAGTTTTGATAGCTGGTCAGTCTCTGTGTTGTACCTGTGCTGCTCCACATCATCAGAAATTTCAGCGGCTCCAGTTATATCTGGTTTTCTCCTTCAATGTTCACGCTTTCCACTTTTAATATAGATAGCTTTTCTATGACGTATTTTGTCTCGGAGTTATATTATTCCCCTTGGCCGCCATCTTGTAGGTCAAAGTAGTGAATTTTCCTCTTTGAGCAACCAATTTTAAACATGCATGCCAGAAATATATGGGGAAAATATTTTCAGTATTGAGATTATGAATTAAAAGAAGCTTTAACAAACGTACATTCATAAGAAAAACAGTGTTATCTTCACCTCAGTGCCCAGTATAAAAAAAATTGAACTTGGTTGAATAATGAAGGGATCTGGGGATGTTGACCTACAATACGGCGGCCATGGGGAAATAACTCTTGCTTAAATCACCTCGATGGAAAACCATCATTTGCAAATTTTGGGTAAACAAATGTTCATATTGAATAATGCATATAGTATTATTGTATCTGCCAAATGCTGTCATGCCATTTTGCACTCTCTGCTTGGTTAATTTAAAGTCAGAGGAAAGTATTTATGAAATTTTGATAATTTCATGTTACATTTTTTTATAAGAAGTGTTTTGAAAACATTTCATGCTAGTCTGCAGCTAGAGTGAACATCAAGGAGCTCATAAAGTGCACCCTCATAAATAGAAGTAGACAAATATTTTAAGTTCATTGTTTTCATCTCCCACAACCACAATGATATAGAGGCAATTTCTTTTAGACAACTTGGTTAATTTTTCTAAAAATTTACTATATTCTCCCAAATGCTTTTAAGATTTTTAAAATACTTCCCCAAATGGACGAGAATGAAAATGACTGCTTCTAAAATCACGGTGAAAAACACTGAAAAGAGAACAAAGAATTATACAAGCTGTTCTGTTAGACTGTTACTGGTGTAAATTCTTCAAACATCTCTTTGTTGTATATGAAGTAAAGGGATTTACATTGCAAACTGCCAAATATTTTTTTTTTGTGTCATAACAATTTTATTCAAGTGGACTGTTGTTTATTTTATGTTTGTGAGTAATATTTTACTTTTTATATGTATTATTAGAATTTATTAACATTCATATAAATGTTTACGTGTGGTACTGTTAATTTTTTGTATTGTTGATGTCTACAGAAGAAATTGACAAAATCTGACATTTTTGCTGTAACACTTTACCTAAAGTTATCTTTTTCAACATGTTTCTACATGCACATGATTGAATCATTGACTCTGATTTTAATGAGACTGTTTGAAAGTAAGATTTCATTTTGTTTCTGGTCACACACGCATGAAATTGACAATGTTTTCTGAATATGCCATATTTTTACTCTGTAACTACTGAAAATGGTCATATACATCGCTCTGTATAATTTTTATATTATTTGTTGACCTTGTATTTTATTACCTCAATAAATACTGCTGACACAAATTAATTTCTTTTGAGTATATTGCTACAAGTATTCAATATTGATTTTATTCGGACACTGACATTGGGAGACATACATTTCCTTTGTCACTTGGAGTTGTCGTTCTTCGTCAACATGGGTGTAGTTTGAACCAATAGCTGTAACACTATAATAGTGTATGTACATGTTTGTAGATAGTTTCACGACGTTATCAAATGGTAATTGTTAATGGCTGTTGTTCTTTTTTATTGTTGTGCCCTAGCAAATTCAAAATTTGTTATTGATTCTTTTAGTAGGTGTACACAATTTTAAACTTTGATGGTTATGCTAGTGTATATATGCCGAAGTTTTACATTAACTGAATATTCTTCTTCATATCTTATGAAAAACCGATTACTGTTGTTGATCTCAGGCAGAACACACAGTTTAATGTTAGACTTGTCTAATCTGAATACACTGGTTCCGCAGAAATGATTAAACGGTCGGAATAAACAACAATTCGGATTATACAATATTTTAAACTGATTGAATTTACTAAAAGGGACTAGAGTTTACATGTAATTGGCAAGATTTCAGAATACGAGGGGTTATCAAAAACTTCATGGACTGATGCGATAAAATTAATACTAGTATGTAGTCTGTGCTTACAAAATTTTATAGGGAACATTAAAAACAACAAAAGTTTAAGAACTGTTCAAAATTTTAGCTTTATATATTGATAATTTGTCAAATAATTATAGAATATAAAGACAATATATGATCATCCGGAGATGTTGCCGTTTAGTTTCATGTCGTCCGATAACGTCATTGTTTCTCAGTGTCCGCTCCTTCTCCCTCATACACTTATCTTGATGAGATTCCCTTGAGTTAAGCATGTTAATTAAGGACATAAAACCGTCTTGTTTATATGACTTTAAAATTTTATGAACAGCTGCTTTCAACGATATACTGTAATATTCATTGTAAATGGATCTTTACATAGGGAAAGACCCTCACTTGATTATGCCAGCATATTTTGCTTGTTGGAGTTCAATATCTACCACACATGATAAACGTCACTTTTCAACCTGACTGACTTTTGACACCTCGGCTACAAATCAACATTAACTTTGCATCTCTCATCTCTCTGAATCATTTACGGCATTTGAAAACAAGTACTCTGGATGCATTTTATTTCTCTGTAGCTTGTTTAAACATTTCCTAGGTCTATACCAGTTTTTCCAGGGGAGTAACTTATACAATGTTGAAAAAAGAAACCCCTCCCCTTTTTGACGTCATTTTCAAGCATTTTTGATATTTCATTTGCAAACCCTTAATTGTTTAGACATTCCATATTAAATTTAGGATCAAGTTTTATAGAACTTACAGAATGAAGTAAAAATTGCTAATTTTACGGAACAATTGTGTCATACAATATGCCTGAATTAAGGATGGATTCTTCTCATATTTCTTATATTGGCAGAATCTTGATTTTCTGAATACTCAATATTCAGACTGTTTACACTCTTTTAACATCCAAAAACTTTGGTGTCATCGGCCTTGATTTTCAGTCAAGGTCATTTGAAAGTCAGTCCTAAAAATAGTACTTTTACACAGAGAAGTTATGAAATTTATGCATATGAATAAATTTTGCTGACTGAAAAAATATCTTTCACAATAAAATTAAAGTTGTTACTTATTTTTGATGACTAATTCATATGAAATGAGCTGGTGAAAAGATAACATGAAATCCTTTATATTCAATAAATATATTTAATCCGAATTTCCTCGATATTTTTTCAAAATTCTCAGTTTTTATGAATTCACATGAAATTTCATCTCAATTTTTACAATTGACCATATAATGTCAAATATTTAGATTTTTGTCTGATGAATATTCGAAGGTTCAAGATTAATTTACAAGGTAAAAAAGATATAGTAATCAGGCAAATTATCGAAAAAAAAATTAGCCCGAATTTGCTCTATACTTTCTGAAATCTTCATTTTACAGAGCGTTTTAAATGTCTATAAAAAAGATTTTTAATCCCCAAAAACATATCAATTTGGTGTAATTGTGACATAATACATTCATTTCTCCCAGTTATACATTCTATTTTTATGGTATTTTACACTAATGATATTCAAAATATTCATTTCGAATTTCCTCTGTCATTTTATTCTTATGAATGTTATGTTTGACAATTTTATAAAATACATCAATTTTCTAGTGGCAATTACAGAAAAATTATCACATACATTCTTCACATGCACAGGACTAATTCAAAGCAACTTAACCTTTAATATAACCAGGAATAAATAATAAACCTTCCAAAAAGTTATGAGAAAAATCATACATAAAATTTTCATAGACTAGAAAAGATTTCAATACATTATTTATGACATAAACATGAAATCAATATACATGTATAGTGAACATGCCATTCAAAGCTTAATATGTGAATATCACAGGGACTAATATATATGCCTATACATGTATATGTAGTTATATACATATAGGTCCCTGGTATTATGTTATTATTGGATATTTTACATTTGTAAACTGAGTTTTGAAAACAACAAGCAAATTCAAAGAATTGTGGTCCCCCGCTTTCGATGTCTTAGTGGATGGGATGCCATTATTTATGGCATATTTTAACTGTCTTGTTTGTTTGTCCTGTCTTATCTGTGCATCATACAAAAAAACATAAGTTATTGAATTAATAACAGTTATGGCAAAGACTATAGCTTCTCAAAACTACATCAAACTTCAAGACCAAGGTCATGAGGTCAAATATCATAATAAAATCCAAAAGATCTTCACACAAGTGATGCACATGTAAAAAAAATATCAGAAACCAGAGTATACAATCAGAAAGGTCTTGAAACAGGTAATGCACATGTCAAATGTAAATACCATCTCTTCTCTCAATCAAATGTTATTAGCAATGATAAAATTTTTAAAAATTAGGTCAAACTTCAAGGTCAAGGTCATGGGATTAAAAATTATTGTACATTTGGAAATGCTTGTCACAGGTAATGTACTTGTCAAATATGAATGCCCTATCTTTGCTCCTTCAAAAGTTAGCAAACTGATGAAATGTTTGAAAATAAGGTCAAACTGGAAGGTCAAGGTCACGGGGTCAAATATCATAGCATATTCAGAAACATTTTGACACAGTTAATGCACTTGTCAAATATGAACACCCTATCATATGTCATTCAAAAGTAATCACCAAATATAAAATTTTTGAAATTTAGGTCAAACATGAAGGTCAAGGTAAAGGGGTCAAAAATTATAGCATGCTTGGAAACACTTTGTCACTACTAATGCACATGTTAAATATGAAAGCCCTAACTATTCTAAATCAAAAGTTATAAGCAAAGATAAAAATTTTGAAAAGTAGGTCAAACTTCAAGGTAATGGTCATGGGGTCAAAAATCATAGTACACTTGGAAAGGTATTCTTACAGGTAATGTTCATATTTAATATAAAAGCCCTATCTTTTCTCATTTAAATTTAATGACCAATTTAAAGAAATGTTAATTTTCTGAAAAGTAGGTCAAACTTCAAGGTCAAGGTCACGGGGTCAAAAGTCATAGTATAAATTCAAAAGGTCTTGTCACAGGTAATAAACAGGCATAATATGAAAGTCCTATCTTTTCTCATTCAAAAGTTATGACCAATTTAAGGTAATGTTAATTTTTTTGAAAAGTAGGTCAAACTTCAAGGCCAAGGCCACGGGGTCAAAATTCACAGTATATTTGGAAAGGTCTTGTTACAGGTAATGTACATGTGAAATACAAAAGGCCAATCTCTTCTCACTCAAAAGTTATGGCCAAGGTTAAAGTTTTTGTGACAGACAGCCCGACAGACGAATGAGATTTAATGTCCCCTCTCTTTCGCGAAAGCGAGGGACAATAACTACCTACACACATTTATAAGTATATAGTTTGTTCAGCACCAATAAATATAACTCCTCATTGTGATCACATATTGCGTAAAATTTGCTGGAGTTTTAAGATAACAAAAAAGCCATCTATGACAATCAAATGCCCTTTGACATCTTTGCCTGAAAATGACATCCTTGAACTTTGTAACAATAATATGCATGCAGCTATCAAACTTAATTTCACATTTAGATGCAAAATACTTATTCAAGGATGAAATTTCTTTTTAAGAATTTGTAGCACAAACATTTATTGATCAGTGTCAATAACTTATATTGAAATGAATTAAAAATTACTTCTTGAGGGTTTCTACTGCAAGTACATGTATGTAGTTCATTTGTAAAAATCTAAATTTTAACCTGGCCACTACCAGCAATTTTGTTTGGCATGCTCTTGCTTAAAATCACCCTTTAACTAAATGATCTAAAGCAGGCACATTTTTATGTATTCCAGAACTGTATTTTAAGATTTTAACTGTATTTGAAAATGTAAAGCAACTGAATACATAGAGCTAGGTATATATCATTTACAAGTTGTTGTAATGCCAGTACATGTAAATCTTCACATTGTAATCTAATGAAAGATAATGCTTGAAAAATTCACTCTGGGAGTAAGATTTCAAATCTGAATCAAAGATTTTGTAAAGTAATCACATTCTACAAAGCGTGCACTGTATCGGGTACTTGGGAATCAAATAATTAAACATTATATAATTATAAATAAAACTACTTTTGACTGAAAGTTTCTGAAAAAAATCAAGAATGGAATCATGCAACAAGCAGCAGTGACTATGATAACATGCATTGACTTCCACATTTCTACAAAAACATTTCTTTGATCAGATAAATATGTAATTCCTGCTTCTGATCTGTGATATATTCTGAGAAAATCTCTTTTCCACAGACAGCCATCATTCATTTGATGTGAGAATTTCTTGCTGAACATGTCTCCACCTGATGAAAGTCCAAATTTTTTGTTGACCTATAATTTAAAAAAAAGTAATATATTTTACATAGCAACACAGATGCTGCATTACATGATAGTTAGATAAAGTTGTGTCCATATTTCTTAAACATGTACCTCAATAGTCCATCTGCCAGCACTCCTTGCTCAATCATCCTGCATTCTGACCTCCAGTCTTTTTTCTAGTCTAGGGTAAAATAGGGTTGATTTTCTCCTAAGAATTAAACATGAACATCCCTTAGACTATTTTTTTTAAATTAATGGAAATTGATTATAAGATTAAACAACTTATCTCATCTGTATTTCATTTATTGATTTAAATGAATGAAGATATTTTAATAGATTCTACCATATGCATAATGTCTTATATTATAATGTATTGGATATAAATAAATAGACATTTTTTATCCTAAAAGTACAGAAAAGTAAAAAAAAAACAAAAATGTAAATAGTTTTTTAACAATAAAGTTTCATTTTGCTCTATTTATTAGACAATTGTGTGTTTCAATATTATTGATATTTCCACATACAATATCAAGTTATTTTTCCGTTTGATTTGTACCCAAGCGGGACACCTTACTTTTCTAATAACTTGATGATTGTTGTGTCTTGAACAAAGTAGGCTAGTTAAAAATATAAAATTTGTTGTAATCATACACAAAAAATGCTATTTTGTGAATTATTATTCATAAACCTGACGAACACACGAAATATATCCTCTTCAAATGTTGACAAGTCGCGGGAATAAGCAGACGAAATATTGATAACAGGACTATAACTTCCGTGCGAATTCCCATAAATCAATACAAACCAGCATGTAATTGAATTCAATTTCAAAATTATAAAAATCTTCAGACATATATAACTAACTTACATGCTCACTGCACACGACATGACTTCAGACGAGGCAACGTGGATCTGCAATCTTACACGTTTGTGACCTTCAAGTTCAAGCTTCCCTTTTGGCTGATCGGAATTTCCCGGGCATAAATAACTATGATTTAATTTGTCATAACTGTCCCTGGGCTTCTGCAATGCTTCGATAATGTTCACAGTTTGTAGATTTTACAGAACAACCCTCTCAGGGTTTTCTACGGGAAATGATCTGGACATGTTGACATTCGCTACCGAACTGCGAATATTATGGCGATTGTCGCAAATCAAAGAAAATATTACGAAAAATTTATTAATTTCAAAAGAAATAGATTCAACATTACTTAAACTGACAAATTAACTAATAGTTTTTCCTTCAGTATAATTAAATATGAATTTTGCATTTTACGACTTGCATAATTTATGGAGACCCATTGACGACGTAAAATGCTGACAAGAATCCATCCTTAATGGGGTTTTTGGATGACAAATGGTCATTTTAAGAGTTTTTCACAGTTACACTTACACTGAGGTAGAAAATACGTCATGTTCGAGGTAGCGCCTCCTGGGCAAAATCATTGCTTACAAAAACATTAACAATATATATATATATATATATATATATATATATATATATATATATATATATATATATATATATATATATATATATATATATATATATATATATATATATATGAAACTTATTATTTATGGTTTATTCTGTAGATAGAAAAGACGATGCTAACTGTGTTAAAATTCATTGATGTACCAAAAACGGTTTTAATTTTATGGTGCTAGTCCGCGAACTTTTTGATAACCCCTCGAATATACATTCAGATTAAACAAGTTTCCCTGTACTTCTAAACTTTTAAAGCAATCTCTATGAAAGATTTATGCCCAAGTTCAACTGTTTCATAATGTTTCTTCAATATAACGTATAGATCGATAAAACAACTATTTTTACCTACTTCCAGTAATTCAGGCATAGATAAATATAGACAATTAAAAAAAAGTTATAATCATTGGAGAAAAAAATACTTAATGTATTTTTTTTCCTGCAATGCTGCAACCTTTAATTTCCATATTTTATTGTTTTTGATATTTTAATTTTTTTTATTTTAATTAAAGTGAAATGATCAGTAACCATGCATTTATTTCGATAGAGAAATATACATGCAATAGTCAAGTGCATTTCATTAGAAAAAGTTATGTGATTCTCAAAAGAAATGGAGTTATTTAAAGGGTCCTTTCCATAAACACAAAAAAATGAAAAATCTAATGAAACTCGTGCAGAATTAAGCACCAAATTTGAACAACTGTGCTTAGAAAGGGAATTATTTTTGTAGATTGGATTTCCGACGTGATGTATTCAAAAGATAGATGTACCAGGTATAATTACTCCCTTTCTTTTTCTTTGTGTGCGTACGGTGCCTGTGCGAAATGCATGTAATTTTAAATGTATATTTTCTCAGTAATTAAGAAAAAAAAAGGAAAATGTCCACATTTGATATAGCGTATGTTGTTGCCACTGACTTGGTATTCAGCATTTGCTACCATTCATCACAGATATTTATTTTCCAGATGACAGTCTCTACATCAGAGAAGAATGGGCTAATATTTTCAGATATTTTTTTTTTTAAAGAAACTCAAATTTTAAGCTTTCAGTACGAATATTTCTGTTCTTGCTTTTTGTTTGAGATGTACACAGTTTTTTTATTGTCCGAAAAATGGTCAGATTATATGAATATTTTGTACAGGACATCTTTTAATTTTATTAAAGAAAAAATGCAATTCTAATTTACATTTTATTGAAGCATTAAGATCTACAGTCATTGTCCCTCGGTTGTTTGTGGACTTCTGTTTTTCAGTATTAATAATGACCTGAAAACAGAACATTATAATTAAATTCGAGAGTGATTAATCCATACTACGAAAGACTTTGAACAAGGATTATTTTCAACAGTATCCTAAGTATACATAATTAGATATACCTTTCTGCTTACAAATTGAAAGACAAAATTACTATTTACAGTGTCTTTGGGGATGCTTTAATAGTTACCTTTCTGCTTTAAAAAGATGGGGAAAAAATACGGTACTCTCTATAAGGATCTATAGAATCCGTAAGTTTATTTTAAGAATTACCTTTCTGTTTGCAGAAGATGAAAGTTACTTTGGCAGTGTTCCATCCACTCACTGCCAAATTGGTAATATCGATTGGGTCTGCATCGACATATTCCATAATCTTCCCATACTTGATATTGGTTCCCTTTCCAACCTTAATGATGAGTTTGCCTTGGATCTTTTTCCAGGTCACCCAGAAAGGCAGAAACTTATGGCAGCTTACAATGTGACTTTCGTGATGTTCGACAAGGCAAGGTCCCTGTTTCGCATCCCGTAAGCAAGACTTTGTATTGCCCCAGCCGCCAATTACGATCTCGTACAGAGGCTTAGAATCATCGGCACCCGAGAGTAAGGCAATGTGAGCATCATTACAGGCTTGTACGTAGAAAATGAAACCATTAAAACGACCATGCGATGCCAGAAGATGACTTCCAAGGGGTTCATAGTCGTATTTTGACGGCAGGTAGATTATTTCTGGAGCATGAGAACCTGTAGAATTTAAATAGATAATATACGTTTGTGTTACTGTATATAAGACAATTCCTACTGGTGTCACATTCGGTAGGCAATTAAGTGTTTGACAGATTTGTTTCTTTAAAGTGTCTATTTTATGAAGTTGTCAAGGAATACGTATATATAGAATGGGTTTTTTTACTTAAATATCATAATGGTGAACTTTACGGGCCTGTATGAAGCAATCCCAGTTAAAAGGGGTACACAACACAGATTATAATATACATTTTATTTTGTCAGCACGAAAAGCCTTCATATTTATACCTTTCTTATTTCTGCAAAAGTAGAAATCAGCCGATGCCCCAAATCCACCACTCACTGCAAAGTATCGGATCTTGATCGGACTCGGATCTGTATATGACAGAATCTCATCCGTGCCCACGACTCTGCCCTTACCAACTTTAACTATACCTTTATTCCAGCTGACCCAAAAGTACAGAGCTTCATCGCAGTGCAAGATTTTTTCTTGGTGATTCACCAGACAAGTTGTTTGTTTTCCTTTTCTTAAGCACGACCTTGTATTGCCCCAACCGCCGAGGACAATCTCGTACAATTTATTTGTATCATCGGTGTCTTTCTCGAGCAGAGCTACATGTGCATCATTACAAGCTCTCACGGCAAATACCAGATTGTCTTTCACAGGATTGCAGGTTGAAATGCCATGCTTGCTGAGGGGTTGGTATTGGTAGTACTTCATTGTCATGGATGATATTTCAATGGGCGCCGGTAAAATATGGCTTGCTGGCAATGGTAAAGTTATTAGAGTATATACGGTTTATCATTTAAGTTTCTCGAGACGGTTTTTTTTAAAAGTGTGCATTAACAGTAAATCAATAATTGTATAAATAATTACTAAGAAACAATTGCTACTACGTCAACTTACATAAATAGTGTTTTCTGCGATATTTCATCCAGCCACTTGTTGTCTGTTTTTAAAACAATAAAAAGTATTAATTAACTTAGCCATTCAAATTAGTTCGAATTTTCCATATTTTAAAAACGGTGGGTTTTTTTTTTTGGGGGGGGGGGATTAGGGGTTAGGATGATGTTTTATCTTTCTGGTTAAAAATTCCATTTAGATCCTATTGACCTCCAAAAAAGCATCTAATATTTCCTTGATTAGTATGTTTTTCATGATCTGATTTTGATCATGACTTCGATCTAAGGGCTTACTAGCTGTCTTCTCGGACAGTCGGTATTATTTTTCACAGAGTAACTCATTTTATACAACCACCACAAAACATTGAAATTTCTGTGAAAGCCCAAGCACCAACCATTCAAAAGTTATGTCCAAGGTTATAAGCTTTTTAAAAGTTGGTCAAACTACAGGGTCAAAAATGTTTATACCCAAGAAAAGGTCTTGTCAAAAGAAATAAAATACACATGTAAGAACAATGATCGATCTTAAAAAATAAATACAAAAAATACAAGTATGTGAACAGCATAAAACACGGACCTACGGAAATTCAAGAGGTGAGATCAGGTGCCTAGGAGGAGTAAGCATCCCCTATTGACCGGTCACAGCCGCAGTAAGCCCTATTCATTTACATTTATGTACTTTTAAAATGAAAAGACAAGACAAAAAAGCTATCGCACGTTGAAGTTAAAATGCACATGGATCGGAAAATGTATGGTTAAAATAAAAAAGATTACTTAAAAATATATTTCACACGCACCTGTCCATATTGAATCAAGAATACAACAACGAAAACGGTCCGGATAAACATTTTATTCCTTTCCAGAGTTAATATTCAGTGATTTGCAATTGATGAAAGCTGATGTGGTATTTAAATATGAGAGCATAACGTCAATCTGCCTAAGGCCTCGCCCCCTCCTCCTCTTCCGTTTGCCCTTGGTTGACGGAGCTGAACCTTACATAAATGTAGTCGAGGTTTCCAGTTTAAATGTGAGATAAAGTTTCTGTGATTGGTGTGGATCTTGTTAAGACTATATTTTACAGGAACACATGTTATATGCGTAAACAAGTTCCTGGAATGTATTGCCCCTGGTACATTATTTGTTTTCTCTCTTTAGAAAAAGAAATGATAAAGGAAGAAAGTACTCTTTGCCAAATATAGGTCAAAGCTACCATTTGAATACATAACTTAAAATTGAGATCCGAGACGGGGAGTGGAATTCGTAAATTTCGGAGTTTTGTATTTGTCAATCCAGTGAGAATTCTTCATAAAAGGGTGAAAACTCCTGAAATTAAAAAAAAATATATATTAAGTTAAGTAATTGGTCATTTAAGCATTCTGTTTTTTAAAACAAACACATCCTGACTGATATACCTTGCAGAAATTTCCGATATATAAGGTCTTTGTCCATCTATCTGTTCGACACACATTTTTGTCTTGAGATTTCTCCTTTTTAGAGAAAGAAAGAATTTATTAGTCCCATATCGGTGAAACCGGAGGGGACTATAGCTTTCCTTCGCGTCTGTCTGTCTATCTAGCTGTCTGTCAGTTTGTCCCACTTGGTTTTACGCACTTTTTTCTAAGCGCTTGCAGATATTGAGCTGATTTTTGGTATATGAGTGTATCTTGACAAGCTACAGATCAAGTTTGCATTTCGTTCTGCTTCAATGATTTTTGCAGAAATACAGTTTTTTTTAATTTAAGGGGTGTACGTAATTTTTTTCTATACGCTTGTAAAGACTGAGCTGAATTTTGATATGTGAATTTACCTTGATGAGTTTTAGATCAAGTTTGCATTTTATTCAATGATTTTTGACAGAATTATGGCTTTTCAATTTTTAATGGGAACCAGAATGAGATTACACTTGCCGGTAGGGAACTAGAATGCTTGTTTAAGACACGTGCACGGTCACGATTTACCATGTAGCTTTGCAAAAAATATAAAAATGTTGACCAGTAATCCCCGGGAGCCATTAAGGGTGTGGATTACAAATCAAGTTTGTCATGGAATCCAACCCCAACCTTTTCCCTTATTGCAACCCCATACTATACAGTGCAGGCTAAACTTTTTTGGATAAAATAAGACCACAAATGAAGGTAAAAAAATCATTGAAATTTGACAAGCAATCAATACTTTTCGAAGCAAAAAAATCAGAAAGTTTTTGATTCAATGTAACTGTAGACATTTTACACAGTTCACATTTTACACAGTTATCTGATACTAATATGTAAATTTATCGTTTTGCCGACATATAATCAATTTTTGTGTGGATCTTTTTATCTAGATTATAAAATGTCTATTTATCATCTTTTTCAAAGAAAACTACGCATTATTTATACTCCAATGATCAAAATATCGGAGGCTTCTTATTAAATTCGTCATTTTTACTGCAGTCTTGATAAAGATCATGAATACATATTTTATTTGTTTTCTGACACAAGATATTAATATTTATAGTTTCTGAATTTATTTTATTTTATTTTTATTTTATTATTATTATTATTTTTTGTTTATCTTTGGCCATTTTTAGTTTTTCTTTAGAGCTGTATTAACAAACCCAGCAGAAAAATAGAAAATGTAGCTCTGTTTATCAATACTTTATTTCATTATCTCAACGTTTTTATACAAATCCATCATGCACGGATCAGAACGGGTCCCGGGGAGGGGGGGGGGGGTTCGGACCTCCCTGAAATTTACAGAGTTATTAAAGTACATGTACATTACTACAGCAAATTAAAGTGACCTTGTACCCTCCCCAGAAAACGCGGACCCTCTGTTAAATTGGTAGGAAAAGTCACACAGGTAAGTGGAGCGGCTACCCCCATCCCTCCCCCTCCCTCACGAAATAGGTTTTTCACGTTTGTCACAAAATTTCTGAGTTAATTTTTTGCTCCGTCTGTCGTCTGTAAACTTTTCACATTTTGGACTTCTTCTCAGCAACCAGTGGGCCAGTTTCAACCAAACTTGCCACAAAGCATCCTTGACTGAAGGGAATTTAAGTTTGTTCACAGAAAGTGGCACGCCCTCTTTTAAGGGGAGATAATTAAGAATTCGTGAAAATTTGGTGGCATCTTTTAAAAATCTTCTTCTGAAGAACTACTGGGCTAGAAAAGATGAAACTTATATGAAAGCTTTATTACATATCTAGATTCAAGTTGTTCATATCATAACCCCCGGGGTAGGGCGGGGCCACAAGAGGGGGTCGAAGTTTTACATAAGAATATATAAGATATGTCTTTAAAAATCTCCTCGAGAACAGCAAAGCCATGATTATAGAAGTATCCTCATGTAGTGTAGATTCAAGTTTGTTCCAATCATGATCCCTGGGGGTAGGGCAGGGCCACAAACAGGGGGTCAAAGTTTACCGTAGGAATATATAGGAAATATCTATAAAAATCTTCTTCTCGAGACCAGCTAAGCCATTGTTAGTATATTAATATAGAAGTATCCTCAGGTAGTATAGATATAGGTTTGTACAAATCATGTCTCCTGGGGGTTGGGTGCAGACACAACAAGGGGCAAAAGTTTTACATAGGAATACATAGGTGTAATGGCTAAGGGGCATTTGCGTAAAACGCATTGGAGACTTCAGATAGTGGAATGACCTGACAACCCTTGGAATGGACTAGCCAAAGGTATATAAGGCAAAGTTTTGGGAAAGTCAGGCATTCGAAAGCTAGCAGAAGAAGTCGACGTTGTATCAGCATTAAAGAAGTTAAGGGTAAGAATAAAATAAAAGTATAAAAGTTTTAAGCACCAGTGGCAAATAGGGAATTGATGTTAAGTTCTGGGTCTAGTAAATCTGAAGAAGATTGAGACATCCGGTTCTTATCTATCAAAAGGAACCTAGGGGAGAAGTACGGTGCAAGTAGTACCGTACCGAGTCCCCGTCTCTAGATAAGAGAAAATTTAAATACTGTGTAATTTACCCTCAGACAGAGCTGATTTTAATAATCAATCCAATCATTAAATCAGAGAAAAAAGAAAACATATATTCCTTGTAAGAACCTGATCATACACGTTACATACGAAATATCTATAAGAATCTTCTTCTGAAGAACAACTAAGTCATTATTAGTCACATTTATACAAAAGCAACCTTAGGTATTGTAGAATCAAGTTTGTTCAAATTGTGACCCCGCAGGGGTTGGGGGCACATCAGAGTGTCAAAGTTTTGTATATGAATATATAGGAATCATCTTGAAAAAATCCTCTGCTCAAGAACAGCAAAGCCATGGTTAGTCATATTATTATAGGAGCATCCTCAGGTAGTGTGGATTCAAATTTAGGGTGGGTCGGGTAGGGCCACAATGAGCGATCACAGAGTTTTACATAGAAATACATAGGGGAAAAAAATCTGTAAAACTCTTCTGCTCAAGAGCAGCAAAGCCATGATTAGTAATATTGATATGGAAGCATCCTGAGATAGTGTAAATTTAAGCCCACCCCGCAAAAACTTTGCAAAAAGAACTGATTTCTGCTTCTTTCTAGCTATTGGCTCAGGTGAGCGATGTGGCCCATGGGTCTCTTGTTTAAGATAAAGAAAATGGAGGTTTTTGGAAGGGGTGTGACGGTACATATTGTCGCTTTGTACATATTGTCGTCGGCGACAATATGTAACTCCCCTCACTGCACATATTATCGTCCATCGGTTCATATTGTCGCCGTCTGAAAAGTAACACATGCACACATTGTCGCTGGCGACATTATGTACCTCACCCTCACTGTACATATTGTCGCCCCACAGATATTGTTGCTTAAAGACTACTTTCGTTGTTTTTTGGTAGTTTTGTGAATGTAATTAGGGTGTATATCACACCGACGTGTCTCGTATGCTATTTCATGCAGCGTGATTGTGACGGTACATTTTGTCGTCTTGTTCATATTGTCAACGGCGACAATGTGTACCTACCCTCACTGTGCGTATTGTCATCCATCAAAACATGTCGCATGACAATGCACGGCAACAGTCCATATAAATATGGCCAGAGAAACTATAAACTTCAGAAATGGCCATATACACTTAATGTTCTCGTCAAAATATGGCTGAAATATTGCCAACTCGGTGTTAAACAACAATATACAGTTCAAGAATATCATTGAGGGAGTTAGCAAGATTTCAGTTTCCCAAGGCCAGGACTTTTCAGAGGCGAAGCCGCAATGATACACTTTTAACTGTTTTATTAAACCGATACAAACGTAAAATTTAGAGGATTCAGATAGCGTTATTTCAAAGCAGGGATTAGCTCACTGAACTAACACACGAGGGTTAGTCCATTCGAATATCATACCAATTTCATTGTAAAACCTAGAGGATTACGGATAACCGGGAATTAGCTTTCGAAGCGGGGATTAGCTCACTTGACTAACACACGCTTATTAATCCATTCTTAATGATTTCTAGGGAAATAGTCACATCTAACGATCTAATGTTATATAGGGAAAAATTCAGTAGAGGTATAATAATAATCGATCAATCAACAATCCATATAAATATGACTAATCATTGCTTTGTTTTGCTCTGTTGCATTGCCTTCATCTCTTTTTGAGAAGATAATTATTAAAGAAATTTCCCATATATTCCTATGTAAAAATTTGATCGCTTATTGTGGCCCCAGCCTAGGCCCGGTTTGATTTGAAGATGCTTGAATCTGCGCTACCTGAGGAAACTTCCATATAAGTGTCACTATTCACGGGCCTACTGCTGTTCTCACTGGTGGATCCAGACAAAAGAGGGGGTGGTTCAGAATTTTTTTTTTTGACACGCTGAAAAATTTTAAAAAGTCATTTGCATGTAAAGGTGTGTTACTGTATATGTTAAGTAAATTATTGAAATATGAAAT